AAAAAATTGTGCGACTAATCTCTAAAGAGAGTATTCCGAGATTACTCGCAATCGGGTACAATTGGGCATTAATTAGTCGGAACTGGTCTCATACGGGTAGTAATGGACATCAATTAGTCTCGACTGGACCCTTACGTGATTAATTGGAGATCAATTAGTCCCCTACTCATCTCTAACGGGTACTATTAACGATTTAATGATATGTGCGCACTTAGTCAATGAAATTTCGTGTGCGGCGTTGGCACATAGAGAGAGTATTCGCGTAACAAACCTGAGCAGCATGGTTCGAATCGCGGCTGGCGCAAATTTTTATTTTTATTTTTTAAAAGTGAATAATCTATTTTTGTACCCTTTCGGGTATGAAGGGGAACAATTAATCTCTTCATAGGACATTCTCGAACAAAGGCGAACAGTTCATTCCATATAAAGAGATCAAAAGTGGTAGTAGTCGCATGTTCCTTTGCGATTGCTCCCGAAGTCGTCCTGGATTAGTCGCATTTTTTGCAGGGTTGCGATTGCTCCCGGAGTCATCCCGGATTAGTCCCATTATTTGCAGGGAATGCACTAATCCCGCGCTGTGATGTTGATTGAAACTCAACATTTGAAAACGCCTTTACATGTATGGCTGTAGCTGAGTGTGCAAAGACGCTTGGTACAATTGGTTGCGGCCAAGAGGGTCCGGGTTCAATTACCATCAGACGGCACATAAAAAAAATTTTTTTTTCTTCTTACCCTGCAAAAAATTGTGCGACTAATCTCTAAAGAGAGTATTTCGAGATTACTCTCAACCGGGTACAATTGGGCATTAATTAGTCCCAACTAGTCTCATACGGGTACTAATGGAGGTCAATTAGTCTGGACTCATCCCTTATGGGTATAATTGGAGATCAATTAGTCCCGAACTCATCTCTAACGGGTACTATTAACGATTCAATGATATGTACGCACTTAGTCAATGAAATTTCATGTTCGGCGTTGGCACACAGAGAGAGTATTCGCCTAACAAAACTGAGCACCCCGGTTCGAATCTGAGCTGGTTAAAATATTTATTTTTTAAAAGTGACTAGTCGCTTTTTATACCCGTTTGGGTATAAAGGTGAACAATTAGTCTCTTCATAGGACATGCTCGAACAAAAGCGATCAGTGCATTCCATATAAAGAGATCAAAAGTGGTATTAGTCGCATGCTCCTTTGCGATTGCTCCCGGAGTCATCCCGGATTAGTCCCATTTTTGGCAGGGTAATTACGAAAAAGCATATGTGCACTTCACAACCACATATTTTGTTAAGTATATACTCCAATTTAAAACGAGCTGGGTTGGTGCTCTTTCATATGCGTATTTTTTTTTCAATTCAGCACGTTTTTTTAATTCTAAAATTTTTTCCCCTCAGTGTTGGAATTTGAGTTTATGACATTCGATACGATACTAGGGTTCCGGTACCCGATTCCTAAAAATATCGTTTTTAAACTATCGAGTATAAAATATCGGTATCGAATGCCAAAAGTATCGATATGGTATCGTATCGTATCGAAATTCGTGTCCCTAGTGCTGAAATGCTATAACATATAAAGCAGATTCCACTGATCTACACAATAGACAATGAATTAACTTTTTATGGTATATTAAACATGCTATATATGTAGATATTAAAAATGAGATAAATTAAGAATGAGGGAATTTTGTTCACATAAAATTCTGACGAAAGAGAAATCCTATCGACAAATATTCCCAAATATTCAAAATAAACCATGGTTTCATTAAAATTCTAGTATACATTAAACAAAATTAATGGAATTCAAACAAGTCCTTTATTGAAAGGTGTGCGATATCACCGTCTTCAAAAGAGTCACAACTTAAAATTTGGCATTTTTGAGATTATGCACTAAAAAGGTACACTGAGCTTTTATTTACCTTTCAGCTAAAGCTGGAGCAAATTTTTGCTATAATTTGTTAAAAAAAAAACCTAACGTAAATTCGCCCTAGCCCATATGATTATCATGTGCTAAGAAATAGTTTTTCGCATTTTCTGACAAACGTATTATTTTGAGTTGTGACCCTTTTGAAGACGGTGTGCGATATGAAGAAATGTACAAATAGTAAAGATGCAATTGATATAATGTATATAAATTAATCTTTTAAAAATTATTATGTTTGTTGCATTTAAAAATTACATGTTTAATATCTAAAATCGAATTATATTCGGTGGAGGGACACACAAATAATCCTGACCTGCACAAGTAAAAATCTTTATAAATAATTGCACTTTCACTTTTATGGGGTGGTATACTAACTTGTAAGTATGCAAATTCTCCACTTGGCCAAACCAAAAGGTTGCAGTGGTGAAAATACCCTCACGAGCGAACGTGGACGGACACACAAATGATCCTGACCAGCTTAAAAAAAAACTTTATTAATATTTGCACTTTCACTTTTATGGGGTGGTATACTTACTTGTAAGTATGCAAAGGCTGCACTCGACCAAACTAAAGGTTGCAGTGGTGAAAATACCTGCACCAGCGAACGTTAACGGACACACAAAGTGATCCTGGCCACGGTTGCCACAAAATAGGTAACTTTTCGAGTGTTTGGTAACTTGGCAACTTTTTTTTTTTATTTTGGTAACTTTTGGTAAGTTTGCCGTGTATAACAGGCTAACCTAGTATTCACGCACGCCTAGGGACACGAATTTCGATACGATACGATACCATATCGATACTTTTGGCATTCGATACCGATATTTTCTACTCGATAGTTTTAAAACGATATATTTTGGAATCGAGTACCAGAACCCTAGTATCGTATCGAATGTCATAAACTCAAATTCCAACACTGAGGGGAAAAATTTTAGAATTAAAAAAACATGCTAAATTTATAAAATACGCATATGAAAGAGCACCAAACCAACTCGTTTTAGATTTGAGTATATACGTTATAAAATATGTCGTTGTGAAGTGCACAGATGCTTTTTCGTAATTAAGAAGAAAAAACATTTATTTCATGTTCCGTCTGATGGTAATTCAACCCGGTCCCTCTTGGCCGCAACCAATTGTATCAAACGTCTTTGCACACTCAGCTACAGCCATACATGTAAAGGTGTTTTCAAATGTTGAGTTTGAATCAACATCACAGCGCGCGATTATTTATTTATTATTAACTGCTCCACAAGATAGAGACGGGTCAAAAGTTGGAATATTGTTTAGCTCCACTAAGGTTCTAATCAAGGAGCATACATTGCATAGTTCGTTTTAGAAAATACGATGTAGAAAGAAGAAACACTGCGTAAATTACGTGTAGGAACATTGAAGGTTATTCTTTCCAAGAGGTTAGGGCAATCAACCGATCCATTCAAGAGGTTGGCAACAAATGAGCATGCAAGATAAGCAGATCTACTACGTAGAGTTTGTAAATTTAGAAGTGCACAACGTGATTCATATGAGGGAATGAGAAGTGCACAACGTGATTCATATGAGGGAATGGGTTCACTAAAATTCAGTGAGCGTAAAGCAAATTTTATAACTTTTTTCTGTATCCGTTCTAATCGCGTGATATGAGAATTGTGGTATGGTCTCCAAATGAATGACGCATACTCCAACCTGGATCTTACTAGAGTAATATAAAGCATCTTCAAAGTGTATGGATCGTAAAAAGGTGAACTATTACTCCGGACGAAAGCCAGCATCGTGTATGATTTGCCAACTATATATTCGATATGCGTGGAAAAATGTAGTTTCGTGTCGAAATAGACACCGAGATCCTTGCCTTCATTAACATGATTAAGAGGGGATCCAGAAATATGATAGCGCGTGTGGAGCGGAATTAGCTTTCTGGTATAAGTACAATGTGAGCACTTATTTATATTTAGATGAAGACGGTTTCGTATGCACCAATCGTGTAGTTTAACAAGTTCTCCTTGAAAGGCAATGGAATCGTGTATGCTTTTAATGACAGGATAAATTTTGAGATCGTCCGCATATAATAGATATTTAGATGACGAGAAGCAGGACCCTATGTCATTAATAAATAAAATAAACAACAGTGGTCCAAGTATACTACCTTGAGGAACACCCGACGTCGCAATAAAAGGCTGTGAGTAGACATCCTCGAACACAACCATGCAATTTCTGTCAGACAAATATGATTTAATCCACTCCAAAAAATTAGAGTGGAAACCTATAGAGAATAATTTAGACACTAAGACCTTGTGAGAAACCCTGTCAAATGCCTTTGAAAAATCTATATATATTGTGTCGACTTGCTGGCCAGCTTGAATAGCAGACGGACAATCTTCCGTAAAAATTGCAAGATTGGAGACTGTGGACCTTCCTTCAATAAAACCATGTTGGTTTGGACTAATTAAGCTGCTAACTGAGAATGACAATAACTTTGAAATTGGTCTATAATTAGATACATCATTTTTGTTGCCACTTTTAAAAATCTGCATTATGTCATACCATGTATGTGTGTATGTGTTGTCCCCGCTGTGTATGCTTTGTATACATATACTTTCTTAATTACATATGAAAAAGCATCCGAGACGTGCAAAACGCCACCCGTGTAGAGAAAAATGTTTCATTTTAATACGGGCGTATTTGAATTGAATATTTCCATTATATGTACGTAGTGCATGTATAATAGAAAAATCCATTTTGTTAAGACTTTTCACTTGATTTAAATACGAACATTTTTAAACGGTAATCAAATAAAAAATGTTTATTCTTACAACGCGTTTTTTTTCTCAGTGAAGGATAATGGTATTAACAGCTCACGCTAATATTACCGGGGAGAGTTTTTCTACGCACGCACGAAAGTTTTTCTCATTTGATAAGCCCAAATCAATTTGCGTGCGTGATTTCTCAGAGTTGCATTTCCGTCAAATTTACAGAAGTTTGCCGAGAAAAATTTGAATTCATAGCCGCGCCAAAATGCCAATTGAGCATAAACGTCAAATCGAGATGACACGCAAGATAAATCTTGGAATTTGAGTTAGCTTTTTACGCACGCATATAAGGTTGGCCTGTAACAATTCTTCCCGATATAAATTGGGCTTTAAAGTGCAGAAATTTGTACTATGGATAGGATTGCATTGGTGGGATTTGAAACCGCGGCTTTGGTGTTAAAGTAAACACCTCAATCTCTACGTGTTGTAATAATAATAAAGTCCGGCGCTTAAACAATGGCCCGTAGTCATAGTCAAAATAAAGTCGACTTTAAAGTTAGTTGCAGCTTTTTGACATAATTTTCAATGGGATATCTGTCAAAAAAGCTGCAACTAACTTTAAAGTCGACTTTATTTTGACTATGACTACGGGCCAATATGTTAGTGTTTGGCCGAACTTCTCCTCCGATTTATCGCGAGAACCTTAATGTTGTGGCACAAACGGGGTGCCTACAGTTTTATGCCGACTCTGAACGGCGATTGTATTTTATGGGAAGCTGTTTTTTATTTTCAAGATTTGCGCACTTCTAACCGCTACACCCCAGCGGCCTATATGCGAGACCTATATTCAGATAAACTTTTTGGTTTTTGGTATCGATATTTGGAATATCGAGTCTTTTTATTCCGATATTAATGGGTACCCGATATTTTTAAAGCGATACTTTAAATGAGTACCATATCGATACTTTCGGTTCGATATCGTGTCCCTACGCACGCCACCTATTTACTGTCAAAAATTTCTCATGCACATACAACTTGTAAGGGACCAACCGAAATTGAAAGGCGTGCATATGAAGCTAACTCAATTTCCAATTTTTGTTCTGCGTGACATTTTGATTTGACGTTTCGCTCAATGAAATCAAATGCAAACGCATGCAAGCCAACTTCGGGTGACGCAAAAAAAAACAAATTCGACTGCGTGCGTACTAAAACGCAAGCCGCGAATATTTGGTTAGCCTGTAAAGTCAGACTAAAAAAGTTGGATTAATTTGATAAATTGTACTGTGTTTGTGTGTAGCGGTGACAACCAGGGATGGAAAATCGAAATTTGAAATTATACCTAATTTGACAATAGAAATGTACCTTTTTGCTTTCAAATGCACTTAAAAAGTAGCTCAAAATTTTGGTAACTTTTTTATTATTTTTAGACAATTGCTACCAATTTAATAAATTTAAACATTATTTGCAATAACAAGAAATTGATTAATATATCGAAACAGTTGAATTAATACTGGTAAAAATGCAATAAAGATATATCTATGTATGTACATTGGGGTAGTCAAAATAAAAGTAAAATCGGAATTTTAATGCTCTCACCCTCTAGGATTGTACTTTACCGAAAAAATTATTTTTATATGGAAATCAAAAATATATTTAGGGGTCGCTCAAAGCACTCAAAGTGTTTCATGTATTTTATATGGGGAAAAGCATGTTTTCGTAGAAATGGTAAGCAATCTTTGAAAATCAAATATTTTTCGATCGGAAAACTTGGTTTCTCTTTTGGATATTTTCAATAATATTACGCAATGGTTTATTCATCCACTTTGTATTATTAACTATTTCTTATAGGGCCCCTAAAACCCTCAAAACAATGCAATGGGGGACCCATAAAAATCGCTATTATTAGAAATCGTAAAATAAACAATTGGGTATTATTATTGGCAGTATCTTAAAGAGAAGCAACGCTTTTCTATCAACAAATATTGATTTAAAAATTCTATACCATTTTTACGGAAACTTGTTTTCACCCCATATGAAAAACATAGAAAACTTTTAGCGCTTTGAGCGACCTCTAAATATTAAAAAAAAAAATTGTATAATGTTTTTCGGTATCATTCATTCATTCATTTTATTTAACCCTGCTTATAAAATGTATATTTTTAGCAGGCTTTCTAATAGTTACATTTGAGTTTACATGTTTGAGAATTACATAATTATTAAAAAAATATACTAAAAGTGAAAGTACTTAAAAAAGTATTTCAGAAAATTACATTAATTTACACAATTTATTCATTTAATATCGCAAACAGTTAACAACATAGAGGTACACCATGTAGACTGTAATTTGATCGGTCAATTGGAATATATGCATTGGATTGCTTTCAAACTCTTTTTGAAGTGGTCCTAGGTAGTAGTCCCTAACGGAATAATAAATTGAGCAGATGCTCGAGGCTTTCTATTTCGCCTAGATTGCACTACGTACATAAAGCATTTGGGTCTATTTTGTAAACCAGGCCTTTGATACAAAACCTTATGTAGTACCTCGTAGGCCGCCGAGCTTGAGCTAAAATTTTACTCAAAATATGACTTACTTATCCACCGTTGCAAGAACAAATTCCCGCCGGAGTAGATTACAGATATTTCCGCCTTTCCCAATCGAAATGGACATACATGCAATGTAGCCCCTTTGCTACAAATCCCTCAAAAGGTGAGGAGTTTTTCACTGTTCGCAAAGAATTTAATAAAGAAACAACACTGCAAATATTTCTTGTTGCCGCAATGACATGTTCACAATGATATATGAGCTGCCATATCTCCTTGTTTACAAAAATTTTCTTAAATTTTTTCGCGAGCAACTTAGTCCTAGTTAGTACCTAAATTCCGCTTGGTGTACCGAACGTAACTTTTGGTTCGGAAAAGTAGGAAAAAGTAGTACTTTTCCATTCCTGGTGACAACACTACTAGAAACAATTGCATTGATCAAAAGGTGTTCGCACGAGCGAT